ATAGCATTATAAAGTTAAAAATGTAAAAAATAAAATCGAGAATTTTCACACAATAATAGCATTCGGTAGCCATTTTCACCGTGAAGATAAAATAAAGTTCGACATTTTTTTTTTTCCATAATAAAGTGTATTACATTAGCTTTAATTTAAGATATATATAAAAGTGACAGACTTTCCGAAACACTTTCAAAATTTAAGTTGAAACAGTAAATTTTTTGTGAAAAAATGGTCATTTTAAATCCCCCCCTGTGGTCAGGTAAAGGGTCAGATATAAAAAAAATATATACCAAATGATAGGTAACGACATCATGCATCTATAAAAAAAAAATTATATTGATCCATACATCTTTCAAAAAGTTATAGCATTATAAAGTTAAAAATATAAAAAAGAATTTTTTTACAAAAATCGTATTTTTTTTATAAACTTTGATGTCTGTTTTCACCATGAAGATAAAATAAAGTCCGAAATTTTTTTTTTCCATTATAAAGTATATTACATTAGCTTTAATTTAAGATATATATAAAAGTGTCAGACCTTCCGGAACACTTTCAAAAGTTAAGTTGAAAAAGTTCTACTTTCTATATGCATTTTTATGTTTTGAATCCCCCCTGTATTTAGGGAAATGGTCCGATTTAAAAAAACAGTATGTCGAATGAAAGATCTATATAAATACTACTTCTCATAAAAAAATTGTAATGATTCATACATTTTTCAAAAAGTTATAGCATAATAAAGTTAAAAATGTAAAATACAAAATCGAAAATTTTCACACAAAAATAGCATTCGGTAGCCATTTTCACTGTGAAGATAAAATAAAATCCGAAATTTTTTTTTTGCATAATGAAGAATATTACATTAGCTTTGATTTAAGATATATATAAAAGTGTCAGACCTTCCGGAACATTTTCAAAAGTTAAGTTGAAAAAGTTATTTTTTTTATATGCATTTTTATGTTTTGAATCCCCCCTGTATTTAGGGAAATGGTCCGATTTAAAAAAACAGTATGTCGAATGAAAGATCTATATAAATACTACTTCTCATAAAAAAATTGTAATGATTCATACATTTTTCAAAAAGTTATAGCATAATAAAGTTAAAAATGGAAAATACAAAATCGAAAATTTTCACACAAAAATAGCATTCGGTAGCCATTTTCACCATGAAGATAAGATAAAGTCCGAAATTTTTTTTTTTCATGATAAAGCATATTACATTAGCTTTAATTTAAGATATATATAAAAGTGTCAGACCTTCCGGAACATTTTCAAAATTTAAGTTAAAAAAATTAATTTTTTGTGAAAAAGTTGTCATTTTAAATCCCCCCTTGTGGGCAGGTTAAGGGTTAAATTTATGAAAAAAATATACCAAATGAAAGGTAATGATATTATGCATCTATATAAAAAAGAATTATATTGATATGTTTATTTTTGAAAAAGTTATGGCACTTTTAAGTAAAAAAAATTGAAAAAATTTCTAAAATTAGCGATTTTTTTGGAGGTTTCCCCCTTTTACGGGGAACGAGGGAATTTTTTTCAATTTTTAAGATTTCAATTTTTAAGGGTAATGTCTTCGACTAGATACGATTTGTGATCTTTTGACGTATCATTGAAAGAAATCGGTTCGGTGAGAGCTGAGAAAAAGTGGTAACAGACACACAAAAAAAAAAAAACACATCTTAGTAAAACCAATACTTTCTCAGCTTCGCATCGAAGCTAAAATACGATTTTTGTAAAAAAATTCTTTTTTATATTTTTAACTTTATAATGCTATAACTTTTTGAAAGATGTATGATAAATTATAATTCTTTTTTTTGTAAATGCATGATGTCTTTACCTATCATTTGGTATATTTTTTTTATAAATCTGACTTTTTACCTGCCTACAGGGGGGGATTCTAAATGAAATAAATTAAATTTTTTTTTTTTTATAGATGCTTGATGTCTTTACATATCATTTGGTAAATTTATTTTGTAAATCTGACACTTAACCTGCCCCAGGGAGGATTTAAAATGACAACTTTTTCACAAAAAATTGACTTTTTATATATATTAAATTAAAGCTAATGTAATCTACTTTATTATGTAAAAAAAAAAATTCGGACTTTATTTGTCTTCACGGTGAAAATGGCTACCAAATGCTATTATTGTGTGAAAATTCTCAATTTTATTTTTTACATTTTTAACTTTATAATGCTATAACTTATTGAAAAGTGTATGGATCAATATAATTTTTTTATGGGAAATTCTATTTTTTAATAATCCCTTTTTCATTCGACATACTTTATCTTAATCAGGATATTAATAAGGAACTAGCAGTTTATGAAGCTTTTGGAATAATCCACCAATTTTTTAAAATTAAACACTATCTAAAGATTTGCATCGAAGCGTTTTTTTTTTATAGTGATTTTAATCACTGTCAGATATCATTATACTTGATCCAACTATGCCACGTCACCACTGTGCCGCGACCCCTCTGTGCTGGGTTTTTTTTAAAACTAATGTTAAATTTTTTAAATGACTTATTCTTAATTTTCATTCTTTATATAACTAATGTATAAAATAAAAATGACCAAATTGATTTATGTCCCTTTTTCTTAAATTAAATGTTTTTATATTAACTCTTAATGTTACAATACTTTGATATTCTATCAGAAGTATTCCTATTTAAATAATACGGTAGCACAATGTGGGCGTGGCATAGTTGGGAAAAGTATAGATGATATCTAACAGTGATTTTAATCACTATCATACGAAACGCTTCGATGAAAATCTGTAGATAATATTTAATTTTAGAAAATTACTCTGTGATCAGGAAAAACAATATACTTAGCAAATAAAATTATTTTTTTATTTTTTATTTTGGAAATAAATAGCCACTTATTAAAGTTGATTATTTTATTTTATTTAAAATTCATAATTACAAATTTAAGTTAAACTCATAATAAATTTTATTACAACGTATATTATTTATACTCTTAACATAATAACACTATACGGCGTTGTAAGACGTGCTAAAACTAATAAATGTTTAAAACAAAACCAATGTAGTAGACTGAATGTTTCTTTTTTTAGTTTATTTTCAATTTAAGTTAATTCACAAAGAATAAAAGTTAATTATAAGGTTAGTTGTCCTGAACACTCAGTTTATGATAAATTATTATAATTAAAACTACAAAAGGAATTTATAATTGATTACAATATTATTATGTCTAATCTGACATACAACAATAGAAATTATTCGCCTCTCTCGTCAACACTCGTCAAGTCCGTGTCCGTATCCTATTTTTTCATCATGTATCAAATGTTCTAGATCGATAGGACGCGAACCACGTTATCACTGCTGAACTCTAGTTTAGTTATTAATGATCTAAATGTTATAATCAAAATTATTTATTAATTAGAACTACTTTAAATTTAGGTATAAAAGAATCAAATACATATAAACTACAAATATTTAATTAAAAATATAAGTTAAATTATAATTATACAAAATAGAGAATCATTTTTCAATAATATTTATTTGTTACTAGCGAGTAGAAAAATATTTAATTTTTCTGTATAACTTTTATAATCTGTTAAAATATTTATCAATCATGTTGTGGGAATGTTGAGAATACTATCTAAAATGTTTAAATTATTTAAAAAATAAGTAAATCATACTTATATTTTTATATAAATTATCATTTTTTTTTAAATTTAGAAAAGTCAACATTCCGATCCAACTTGGCAAGTATTTTTTTTTAATAAAAAATTTTTATAGCAATCTTGTAAATTAAAAAATGCAAAATTATAAAGGTTTTTTTTTTTTATTAAATATATATTTTTTCAAATTAATCAGTTCTTTGATCGTTATTTTAAATTATTTAATTAGAGAATAAATCAAATGATAACTGGGTTGGTAGGATAAAAAAATGGATATACAATTATAATGATGTAATAATTGACCATAATACGTTGAAAATTGGATTTTACGTTAAAAAAGTTGTTGTTATACCAAATGTAAGTTAAAATTTTTAAGTAAACATTTTATTTTATTAATTATTCAATAAAACTAGGTTTCTGTAATTAATAAAATATAAAAAAAATATTTAAATCTTACGAATAAAATAAAATTTAACATTTTAATTTTTATTGTAAGTTTAATGTTATTTATTTTAATATTGTTATTTTTTTGTATTTTTAATTATTTATTAAAGAATTTTTCATAATTATTATGATAATTTAAAAACAAAACGCGTAAAAAAACATTAAGATGATTGAATTATGAGCTGATTCAGTGCAAAAAATTATCAATTTATAAATTACCATATTTATGTTTTTACTCATTTTTTTCTGATTAAATGGAAAAATTTTAAAGGTTAATAAGTCTTTTTATATCAGTATTTTATAGTCTTTTATAAACACACCACTGTTAATACATAAATTCAAAAAAAAAAGGAATTACCTAAAAGAAGTAATTTGAAGTTATAGAATGAAATATGAGGATAACTAATCGTGAAAATAATGTGAGATTTAATGGAAAGTGCTTTTGTCGTAGTCATTAAGAGAAATTAATTTTATAAATTTTTATAAAGCTTCATGATAAAAAATAATATAAAACTATTTACTTGTAAAATTTTTTCTTGGTTAATAATTATGAAATGAAGAAATGTAAAGAAAAAAAATAAATGTGATATATTTTCATTTGCTATAATATCATTAAATATATGAACAGTGACGTTATCAAAATTAATAATCAAAACCTTTTAGATTGAACGAGATAAACTTGAAAAACCAAGTGATCTAGTAAAAATAACTTATGATGGTCTGACTTTTAAAGTTATTAAGCTGATTAAACAAAATTCATTGAAGGTGTTTTTTAAAATAAATAAAAGTTCCATAGTCTCAGATGGCAATTGTACATGTACCCTTCAAGATTGCTACAATGTTTGTATAATAAAAACTGTTCAGTAAATATATTATTTTCAAAATTAAATTTAATTTAATATATTTAAAATTTAGGAACCTATTTTAATTTCGGGTGAATTCCATAATGATTATATGAATGATTCCCTATTTCAAAAAGATAATTTTAATAAAATGATAGATGGTTCCTATGATAAAAAACTAATTGGTATATTGATAGCATGTACATAAGTTAATTCATTAGTAAAATGTGTGAGTTTTTTTTTAAGAAAATTCAAATTTGAGAAAAACTCTGTCATTTGACATAGAATATCATTGCCAAAAAAGGTAAAAATTATAAACTTGTAATTTATATTTTTTGGATCAGTTGTACAAAAGGTGAAGTTATCAGTGCTATAATTTTGAAAAATTCCTATCTAACCCATGAATAAAAAGAAAAAAACTTGATTTTATTAAACCCACATTAAATTAAAGCTAAATTATTCAAAAACTTTATTTATAAACTATGGTTTATCAAAGCCAAAAATTATACAATTTTCGATAAAAATCGATGATTTAGAAGTGTTTTGAATAGTAACGAAACATCTACATTATTCAAAACTAAATAAAATTAATGTATTCATGTAATTTACTATATGGTTAAAAACAAAAATATCTTTTATGAGTAATCAACTTCTAAAGTTGAAAATGATGTAAATAATGATTTTTTTTTAATATACACATTGAATTATTTCACGACAGTGATTATAATTAATATCAGTTATCAATAAATACTAATCTAAAAAACTTTGCTGGATCTTGAATACATGAGTTACTTAAAAGTTTTTAAGTATTATTATAATATATAGTTCTCCTTATACTTCATATGAATATCATCTTTATTTCTTAAATTCAAATATGGATATACATATATACAGTAGCGCTTAAAAGTATTTTGACAAACACGTTAATGGCGATTTAAAAAAAATCTTAACAGGAGCTATAAATCTTATGACTCTGAATTGTTACTAAACGTAAAAAAATCAAGAAGAAACAAAAAAAAATACAAAAACTTTAGTATAAACATTGGATATTATCTTTATTGGAGTTTGCCGCGCTCAATAGTATTTTGACAAAAATAGAATCAACAAAAATAAATATTTTCTTAAAAAATAATTAACAAAAAAACAAGCAAAAACACAGAAATTAGTGACTGAAAGTTTAATATTTGGTACCATATCCCTTAGACCTGATGACCGCTTCACATCGAGCTGGCATGAAGTTAATCAGCTTTTCAATTGTAGAAAGAGGAATTTTGGCCCATTCTACACGTAATGTTTGAAGTAGAGTTGTCTTGGTGGTTATTTCCCGTTGACGGATCCTTCTATCTAGCTTGTCCCAGAAATGTTCAATTGTATTCAGATCTGGACTTTGACTAGGCCAATCCAACACGCAGACTCCATTCTTAGACAAAAAGGTTTTAACATGTTTGGGATCGTTTCATGTTGGAATTACCAGTTACCCTCGAAAATTTCTTCGGCATGTTCCATTATATTATCTTTTAGTATGTCAGCTTATTTAAAGCGGTCCATGATGCTTTCTATGTTGACCAAAGGGTTAATACCAGCTCGTGAAAAGCATCCCCAGACCATAACATGTCCTCTGCCGTGTTTTACGGTTGGAACTTAGTAGCGGACATTGTCACGAGTGTTGACAGGACTTCTAACACACCATATTCCGTCTAATGAAAATATATTAAATTTGCTTTCATCGCTAAATAGAATGGTCGACCACTGCTGTGTTGTCCAAGACTTGTACTTAATAGCAAATGAAAGTCTGCCCTTCCGGTTCTTTACAAAAATCAATGGCTTCTTGCTGAGGCATCGACCATTCAAATCCAAGTGGTTCAAGCGACATTTTACAGTTGATATATGAAAATTAACACCGTGTGAAATGTTTATATCGCGAGTAATGTCTACAGCTGTAAGGCGGGGATTTGCAACTGATCTCCGTCAAATGTCCCTATTGACTCTCTCGGTTGTTTTTCGTGGCTTTTCCGATCTTTGAGCATTCTTTACTATGCCACGGGATGGAAATTTTTGGTTCCATACACTGACAATCTGTCTGGATAGTCCAAAATCTCTTGAAACACTAGCTTGTGAACGGGCACTTTGTAATGCTGCATTAACCGCCTCTTTTAGATCAGTAGAATACTCTTTAATCTTCGGCATTTTGGTTAGAAGGGTCCACGCAATGTATAAAAACTGCAACTAACACCATAACAAAGTAATTACAAAATAAAATAGGTGTTAGCGCTAACAAATACACCTGTCAAAATACTTTTGAGCACTGTATTTTGAAAAAACAGACTTTTTTACTTATGCCTACGTTGTTAGCTTCTTTTCCAAAGAATAACAGCTGCAGACTGCTGCACTTTTCACTAGAAAATNAAAGAATAACAGCTGCAGACTGCTGCACCTTTCACTAGAAAATGGTCGGCTACTTACTGTCTTGCAGGTCCACGCCATTTAGTGGTCTAAACTAATTGTCAAAATACTTTTGAGCGCTACTGTATATATATATATATATATCAATCAATAATATAATAAATATTATATATTACATATTATATTTATCAAGTTTAAATAATAGAAAATTATAGTTATAAACCAGCATTTTTTAAGTTATTTACACTTTAAATACAGACTGAGGTATTGCGCAATTTGTGATTATTTTTATCAACAGGCTTAACTTAGCCCACTCCATTTTGATTTATGAATTTTAATTTACGATATATGTTTAAATAACAGTGAAGGGTCATCATTAAAATGCGAAATTGGACCATGCGTTATTTGTGTAACATCAGGACTAATACACAGAATTAAATTTATTTATGAGTTTATGGACTATAATTGGTTCAAATCCAACAGTGAAATTATCAAAAACGAAGAAAGTGCAATACATCTTATTTTAATTATTTTTTCGAATATCTTATAATACTAATTTTTAGTTGTCAATGTACTTTACGAAAAACGTGAACAGTTTATTTTTAAAATGACTAAATTAACAGTAAAAGTTTTTCCTGCGTGTCATATTGGCTTACAAACATCAAAAAATGATGAAGTAAGTAGTTAAAAAAAATCGTAAGTTTTTATGAGTATGATAAAAAAATTCTTATTAGTGCATAGATGACAAAAAAAAAAATTTAATATTGACAAATCCACCAATTGCTATAACAACAATTGAAGATATAATTGGTGATTATTCTAAAAATAATGTTTACACTTCAAGTTCTATCAGCAATCATGAAAACAAAAAGTATAAAATAAGATTTGGGGTAGGTAAATATTTTGACATAATGAAATTTCAATTAGGTTTCAAAGTACTATAAGTTCATATCATGATAGGGTGTACACTTTTATGTATAATTTACAATAAAAAAAAAAATCATATTTTTTATAAAAAAAACTTTTTTTTTGTTTAGAAATAAAAGCTTTTAATTTTTAAAGGTTTTTCAATTAAAAATACATGTTTTGAAGTCAGATGTTAATTTTTGTATAATACAAATGAATGAAATGTTGTTCAATAAAGTGGATGAACTCTATAATGGTCATATAGAAATTGGTGAAATATAATTTATATAAATATAGTAGTGGAATAGATTTAACTATTAGCTCTGTCTGTGCTGCATACCAACTTTATGTACTGAAATGCTTATAACTCAATAAGTATTAAATTTAATATCGTTATCCGTTCATTAAAAAATGTTGAAAGAAAATTTCTAAAAAATGAATATTTTTAAATTATAAATAAATAAAAAAAAACAATATTTTTATTAAAAAAATATGATATTAACTTAGTCTAAGGACTAAGTATGTTAGTTATATTAAAAGTCATAAAAATCATCAGTTAGGCAGGGGCGTCATTTCAGGTTATCCTATACTAGAACAAACTTTTAACTGGCTCATAATTTTACAAAGCAGCATTCTACGCTCACAATTTATCCTTATAATTAAACCCTTTAGATTAATCTAGTAATAATAAAAAATGTTTTTAATAAATTATACATACATAGGATAAGGCGGGGTAAGATGATAAGGTTAAGCTTCTACGATTTCCCTGACTTTGCAAATGGATTTAAAATCTAAAATTTGTATGATAATTATTTTTATATACGCCTATCACTACAATTTTTTCAATCGCCCCTCTCGTCTTTTTAAAAGTGAAATACTAGTTTTCCTGAAAATTGTAATTTTTGACATATTTCCGCATAATCATAAAAATACCTATAATAACTTTTTATCGACATAAAAATTATTATGCTAATATTCAAAAAAGAAAGTTGAAAAAATTACCTTAGAATGATTATACCTTGCGTTTTAAAGCTCAAAAATTACTGTAACATAAGTTACATTTGCAATTCTAGTTAGATATATATATGAGTTAGAGCTATATGTGAGAGTTTTTCAAGAACACTGAATTTGTTATCTTTCTCCGTGTGCTATTTTACTTAATTTTTCAAACTATTTTTGTAAACTTATAGAAAAATAATTCTAAACAGTCAAGTTATTGCACATATAGTCATAGAAACGTTTAATTTAAAATCAAGTGATAACCGATAAAAGATAACTGAACTATCTATGATTAATGTTAACATAACCATTTCAAAATTGCTTAATTTATCAAAACTTATGAAGAAAAAATATTTTTTTTCAAATAAAGTTTGGATATTTACTTTGTTTGATTGATTATAATTAAATGGCCTTATTGGATTGTCCCGGTATAATGACCAACTCTGATTTGTACAGAAAATCTTTTAATAAAAAATACAATCTGTACAAATGTACAATATGTATTTACGATAAACAATATATACCTATAACAGCCAATATATTCTGGAGAGTTCTTCCAATAGCGTATCTCCTACTGAAAGTAGTAACTTTAATTAAAATGTTTATATTACATTTATGAGGTTAATAACTATTACAATTATATTAACACATACTTATTGTTAAAGAAGGTCTCTACACCAGAATTTTTTT